AGACAGAGAGCCGAATCACTGTCATTTAGGAATAAGATCATGTGGGTGTTTGAATCGAGATCGCTATCATTTAACATTTAATCATGCAGCTCTAATACTGCCTAGTGTTGTCGCGATACTAGAATTTCTAACTTCGATACGATACCTTGAAAAATATCGATATTCGATACTATTTTCGATACCACGGAGAAAAAACTGCCACAATATTAAGGGGGTATTTTTTTTATTTAAAGCTAAATATAACAAGTCTAGAACATGACAATGAGGTATATTTTACATGAACAAAAATGTCCCGAGTTCTATTTGTTTATATTTTTTAATTGGACCAGAGCTAACATGATGTATTTTTATTACCTACTGTTATCAAAGATTAAAATATACTATAAAAAAAAAGCACTTAACAGTATCAAATTGGAGGATAGAGAGTCCGTAATGTATAATAATAAGATTAAACATTCAATTTTCAGTTAAAGGCATGTCATTATTGAATTCAGAGATGCCATTGTCTAGCTGTTTAGTTTAATTAATATCTGTGTAATCAAATTAATGATAATCGCTAATGAAGGAAAATTGCAGAATTAAATAATAAGTTTTGAATAAAGTTAAATAGGCACCAGTTAATTTAAATTTGACCAGTTACAATATTTACTTGTCTAAGAGTTACTCAGTCAGATTATGTTAACTTTAAGAATTAAAACGAGACAACACAGACTCTTATCAACAACAATACTAGGCCATCTTGGTTAATGTTTCAGAAAAGCTCAAATGGGAAGAGTTACAGTGTTTCCTTGAGGATTTTTTTAGCAGTGGGGGCAGGTCTGTCCAAACAACAAACACCCCTGATGCTGAGCATATGCTGCTAAATAGTAGCCTACCCCTGGAGCCTGTTCCTTAAGTCTGTTTTCACCTATACAATAATTTAAAAAAATGAGTTATGTGAGGGATTATTGATATATGTTGGGTGCCCGCAGCCCGCTCGCGTGTCCGCGCTATTCTCCGACATGCCCGCTCGCGGTGTGTAGCTCGTGTCCACGCTATTCTCCGACTCCGACATGCCCGCTCGCGGTGTGTAGCTCGTGTCCACGCTATTCTCCGACTCCGACATGCCCGCTCGCGGTGTGTAGCTCGTGTCCACGCTATTCTCCGACTCCGACATGCCCGCTCGCGGTGTGTAGCGCGTGTCCACGCTATTCTCCGACTCCGACATGCCCGCTCGCGGTGTGTTTTTTACGCGTGTCCGCGCTATTCTCCGACATGCCCGCTCGCGGTGTTCTTTATCAAAGAAAGCTGTTCGCGGGGGCGCCGCCCTCGCCATCTTTCCATTCACTTCTGCTATTTAACCAGAGCGAATGAGACGAGTGCGTCACGTGTGGTGTTTGTCAACGCGCCTTTTGAGAGAGAAGTGAAAGTGACTGCTCGGCTAGTATCGATACTTCGGGAAATTAGTATTGGTACCGTTCAGATATTTCAGTATCGATATTTATCGAAATATCGATATTTTTGACAACACTACTGCCTAATATTTAATAAAAACTAGGGATGCACGATATATCGGCCACCATATCAGTATCGGCCGATATATGTTCATTTTTTAATGTTATCGTTATCAGCTTGATAAGAAAATTTGGCCGATATATTAAAGCCGATAAATAATGCATCATTTCCTTCAGCTGAGGCACTTCAGATGTTCACTGTTCAACATGATGGGCTTAAATTGCTTGAAATATGATTGTTATCTCTTCAAAAAAGTAAAATACAGTTCAGTGCAAACATGTGCAGCGCAAATCTGTCATATCGGCCACATAACACTATCATGAGGACATCATTATAATCGTGTGCTTGGGACATGTCTTTAATGATGAGACTTTTGTTTTTGTAATCAGGCTCTCAAAATTATAAACAAAATATATATTTAGATTTATCGGCCAATATATCCGTTATCGGCTTTCAAATATAAAGAATTATCGGTTATCGTATCGGCCAAAATGTTTATATCGGTGCATCCCTAATAAAAACGATGTGAAACAATATGCAGTATTGTAAATATTTCAAACAGTAGCATGCTGAATCATAGTCACATGACCTTATTACATTTAGTTGGGTTGGAAATAAAACAGTTATTTAGTGTTTTAGTCTACTTTTGTGTAAAATCAACCTGACATTTGTCTCTCTGATCAAACAAATCAAGAAGGAAATTACAGGCAATATGGTTTCCAGAACATTTATTCATGAAAAAGGAAGGGGAAAAAGGAAGGCTTGAGTGCATTGCTTTGTTTGGACACACAAGGTTCCCACAGTCATGAGATGTCTAGAAGTGTCAGGGAAATCTAGCAACTCTAAAATTGAAGCTTCATTGGAGCGTATGAAGATTCACTGGTGTTTTAGGGTTTGAATTACACCAAACGTAAGTAACACACTGTTGTTTCCCATGAATAAAGTTAATTGTTAGTAAGAGATAATAGGTTACAATTATTCTTAGTGAGGACGTGTGGAAGAATTCATACTTGAATTAAGGAGAAATTTTGCTCAGTGATGATGTTCAGTTTTAGTGCTAGATTTACTGAAGAAATTTAGCAAAATTCATGCAGATCAGGCAATGCACAAAAATGAAATTAACAGGCAATTTAGTGCTTCTACGGCACAACACTACCACAATCCAGTGTACTTTACTGGGAGTGTACAGTATTGCTCAACATCTGCTCGTGTGATGTGTTGCATACTGATATAGAGCCACGAATGACTCAGTATTACAGTCTCGGTCGGAGAATCATCTAAAATGGATTGGATATGATACACAAATCAGTAATGTTGCACAAAAACTGCTGTATCAAGTGTTTATACATTTATATCTGTGAAAGAGTTACATTAAAAAGAAAATGTTTAATGTAAAATGTTAGCATAAAATGTCTGACACAAAAATATGTTACTAAACATAGATAATCTTCACACTTGTGGTAGGGCTGGTGCATGCAACCGTTGGCAAAAACCCTAACACGTTTATAGTGTTTTAAGAAAGAGGCCACAGGATGTTGTGTCGGGGTTTTCCGGTCTCTCACATGCTTAACCTGAACACTAACTTATTGAATGAGACAATTCTGTGTGACATAACGCCATGTGTGTAATGAAGATTAACACTATACCACAGCACTTTCACACACACTCTCTCTCTCTCTCTCTCTCTCTCTCTCTCTCTCTCTCTCTCTCTCTCTCTCTCTCTCTCTCTCTCTCTCTCTCTCTCTCTCTCTCTCTCTCTCTCTCTCTCTCTCTCAAATTCAAATGAGCTTTATTGGCATGACTTATACAGTATTGCCAAAGCATTGGTAATAATAAAATCAAATAATAATAAATAAATTAATAATGTAAACAAATGCATGAATACATTACATTTATATCATAGTGAAATATAAAAAAAAAAAAAAAAAAACACACACAGTTTTGAGTTACACACAGTTCTCTCTCTCTCTCTCTCTCTCTCTCTCTCTCTCTCTCTCTCTCTCTCTCTCTCTCTCTCTCTCTCTCTCTCTCTCTCTCTCTCTCTCTCTCTCTCTCTCTCTCTCTCTCTCAAACACAAACACACACACACACATGTCTGGTCCACTATCTTTGTAGGGACTCTCCATAGACGTAATGTTTTTTTTACTGTACAGACTGTATATCATGTCCCCTTACACTAACCCTCCTCTAAACCTGCCCATCTCACACACACACACACACACACACACACACACACACACACACACACACACACACACACACACACACACACACACACACACACACACACACACACACACACACACACACACACACACACACATGTCTGGTCCACTATCTTTGTGGGGACTCTCCATAGACGTAATGGTTTTTATACTGTACAAACTCTATATTCTCTCCCCTTACACTAACCCTCCTCTAAACCTACCCATCACACACACACACACACACACACACACAAGATGATGGTTATGAGATGGGTAATTATTGACATGAACATTATTTTCTTATATATCTACAGGACATGTCTCTGTTCAAATAGTATTTTGTCATTCAAACTAAAGTAGCTCAGTCAAGTCAAGCTTTATTTCTATAGCGCTTTTTACAATACAGAGATAACAGGAGAATAATGCAACAGAGTTTGATTCTAGAAGAAAATAGCGTCACAGTCCAGCTTAAGTAAGTCCAGTGATGGTTAATTTCGGTTGTAAAAAAGTTATTAATTTAGTTCATTTATATACACTACCGTTCAAAAGTTTGGGGTCGGTACGATTTTAAATACTTTTAAAAGAATTCTCTTCTGCTAACCATGGCTGCGCTTATTTGATTAAAAATACAACAAAAATCAGTTATAGTATTAAATATTATTCCAGTGTAAATCAGCTGTTTTCTGTGTGAATATATAGTAAAGTGTAATTTATTCCTGTGATCAAAGCTGCATTTTCAGCATCACCAGTGTCAGTGTCTTCAGTGTCAAATGATCCTTCACAAATCAGTATAATATGAGGATTTGATGCTCAAGAAACATTTATTATTATTATCAATGTTGAAACAGTTGTTGGTCTGTCAGTTGTACAGTTTTTTTTTTTTTTTTTTTAGGATTCTTTGATGAATAGGAAGTTCAAAAGAACAGCATTTGTTTGAAATAGAATCTTTTGTAACATTATAAATGTCTTTACTGTCCTTGATAAATAAAAGTATTGATTTCTTTCCTCCAAAAAATAAAAATAAAATTCTCACTGACCCCAAACTTTTGAACGGTAGTGTATATATATATATAGCAGCCGCTCTGGAGAAAACCGTGATGTCATCGTCCAGCTCAGTCCAGTTCTTATTTAATGGTGTCAATGCAGATCAATAATATAGTTGAATATTAAATTAAATGTCCCCAACTAAGCAAGCCCAGGTGAAAATGCATCTATGCATTAAAGATGCAAAAATGAATAAATAGTCTGTAGATATGGTTCCTCTGTGCGGCCGCAGTAATGTTGTGGTGTGCATCGCAGAGCGCTGAAGAGAGAGGGCTCCGGGACGAACGGAGAGGTGTCTGTGAGGAAGAGGCCGCGCCTGACGGACAGAAGCGCTGAGGACGTGGACAGCTCCATCGAGGTCCCTGAGGAGGACGACGACGACTATGTCAGTTCCCCCGCTGTTACTCTTCTGTTCACCCTCCACTCTCATATCCTTTACAGAGCTGTGGCGAGCTGTGTGGACGTTTAAACATACGATTTTAGGATTCAAATATCCAAAAACCACTAGAACAGTGTTTATGGCAGGCCATTTGAACTTTTATTCATTTCCAGGATATGAATTGTTAATATCAAAAATGTAATTCTTGATATCTGTAATTGTATTTTCACTAGTGAAATGTCACCATAGGCTGCCATTTAAAATCAATTGTTGATATCAAGAATTGATTTCTTACTATTAGAAATATAATTTTTGATATCAATAATTACATTGTTACTAGTAAAAATGCGAATTCCTGATATCAATAATTCAATTGTCACTAGTTGAAATGTCTATTCTTCACTAGTGAAAATACAATTACAGATATCAAGAATTATCATTTTAACGAGTGAAAATGTAAATGTTGATATCAAGAATTAGCATTGTTACTAGTAGAAATATTATTCCTGATATCAAAAATTATCATTTTAACGAGTGAAAATGTAAATGTTGATATCAAGAAATAGCATTGTTACTAGTAGAAATATTATTCCTGAAATCAATAATTATCATTTTAACGAGTGAAAATGTAAATTTTGATATCAAGAATTAGCATTGTTACTAGTAGAAATATTATTCCTGATATCAAAAATTATCATTTTAACGAGTGAAAATATAAATGTTGATATCAAGAAATAGCATTGTTACTAGTAGAAATATTATTCCTGAAATCAATAATTATCATTTTAACGAGTGAAAATGTAAATTTTGATATCAAGAATTAGCATTGTTACTAGTAGAAATATTATTCCTGATATCAAAAATGATCATTTTAACGAGTGAAAATGTAAATGTTGAAATCAAGAAATAGCATTGTTACTAGTAGAAATATTATTCCTGATATCAAAAATGATCATTTTAACTAGTGAAAATGTAATTGTTGATATCAACGATTCATATCCTGGAAATGAATAAAAGTTAAAACGGCTTGCCATACTATGTTATATATATTTTGTTGCCTTGTGTACTTGCATTATCCCAGATGAAATCCAGAGAAACAAGTGTCCGTGCGTCGCCTATCAATGACATCATACCCGCGTTATCCTCGATTTCTGGTTATATTTTGCAGAAACCATGGAAACACTAAAGACGCTTTAATATAATATATGTTTTATTAGACAAGGGAACAACTGTGTGGATACATTTATCATTGATCGTTGTTATATGTCTCAACACTGTTAGTCTTATTGTTTGAATCGCTAGTTTTCTTGATTTCCGCGAGTAAATGTTTCCACCGTGCCTCAGAGGAAAAGTGGCTAACATTACATAATCAGATGCGGGTCTATTTTTAGCAACATTAATGCTGCATTTTCTCCAGCATACAATGTGTTTTAAAAGTAATTGCATGCCATTCAGCAATTTTTATTTTTTTTATTTTTACCAACCTCAAGTGGCGAAAAACTACATATTGTGCCTTTAACAGTCCCTAAAATAAAAAAATTCCACTTGCAGCCTTAAAAAACTTTGATTTGCAGTATGTAAAAAAAAAAAAAAATTCTATTAAGTTATATAAGAAGTTATCATAATGTTACACATGTAAACATACCTTTTAAAACAGGCCTACCTCTACACGATATTGTGTGCAATCAGTATTAGGCCGATTTGATTCTGGTTTCACAAAAAGAACTAAACTAAATAATTTTCTTCAGAATAACCAGTATTTATTTTTCCCAGAAAAAAAAAAAAAAATCTTAACAGCTTTAAACCAAGATATATTTGCTGGTGAAGCTAAAGATAATGCATGTGACATCAGGACTTGTTTTCAGTGATCTTGAATTAAGGTTCTACCTGTCAGGATTGAATGTAAGGGAGGGACAAAAAAACTTGTAGGGGAGAAAACTAGATCCACTTTAGGGCAAAGCAGAACAGGACATTGACAACGATCCTGAAGAACGCATCCGGAATAAAGGGATGCAAACAAGGATAATTATCAGATAATAATCAATAATTCAGAGTATGGGACGTCTCTTTCACTCTCATATGCTTCTTGTATTCGCCCCTGCTGATGAGCAAGCAGATCTGACCCCAGATTCCTGTTTTGATGTGTGTAACAGGAAGAGAAAGAAAGCCGGCGACCGGCGCGCGGGGCTACGCGAGGCCGGCGGAAACGCAGAGGAGACGCAGCTCTGCTCAGATTCAGTGAGACACACACACACACACACACACACATGCACTCGCTCCTCCAGTCACATGATCTCCATGACACCTGTGGTTGTTTCCCATGATGCAGCGGTCCCGTATGGAGGCAAGAAGAAGGCGTGGTGCTGGGCCTCGTACCTGGAGCAGGAGAGAGCCATCGCTGCCCCCAGCAAACTCTTCAAAGAGGTGAGACCACACACACACACACACGACAGGAGTCAATGTTGATTTTTACTTTTATACACACTTAGATATTTTAAAAAGTGCCCACACCCAGCTAGCAAACATGTTCTGAGAATGTTTTGCTAACATTCCTGTTAAGTTATGAAAATGAATGTCCTCTGAACGTTCGAAATGTACAGTTTTTTAAATGTTTTAAAAGCTTTTTTTCCTTGGTTTTGCGAAAGTAAAGGGTACATTTTTATCATTTTGCAGACATTGTGGAAATGTTGCTTTTGAATGTTCTCTGAACGTTATGTTATGTTAATGTTAAACGAACTCCATCTAAATATTTTGGAAAAAAAAAACATTCCATGAATGATTTATAAATGTTTTTGTGCTAACATTTTGAGAACATTATTAAAGACTTTAAACAAACGTTCTCTCAATGGGTCTCATTCATGAAACATTCGTAAATATACGAGTAAATATGCGAGTGATTTGCGCGTAAAGACACCTTCCCGAAAACTCTTCTCCTGATTCACAAATACTTCGTAAACGTCGGATGTGATAGTGAAATGTGTGTGTGTGTGTGTGTTAATGAATTCCAATCAGTCGTAAATGGGACACACGTGCACGCTCATTCTCAATTACCATAAATCCCGGCCATTAAATCCGACTGACAACTATATATGGGCATCATATGATTTTATTCACATGAATGCGAATAAAAAAAAAAAATTCTCAGATGCAGAAATTGAAGTTTTATTATCAGAACTTCATTCAAAACACCACATTTATTTTCAAGCGTACATAGTGGCGTATCGGGCCCTAAAAAAAAAGGCAGCTTGGCAGCATATTACAGATGCAGTTACTGGAGTTTCATCTGTTAATCAAACATTCCCAGAAGTGAGAAGAAAATGGTTCGACATTAAGCTTGAGAGCAAAAAACGAATTAGTTCACTTCGGAAAAATAGTATTCAAACTGGAGAAGGACCACCATCGCAGATGCTATTACTGGCTCTCATAATAAGAAAAACCGTATGTAATTACTATATATAATATTTTTTCAAAATGCTGTGCAAATATGTACCCGATTAAGGTGAATTAAAATGCAGCCTTATTAATGAGCAAAACGTCCGGGTGTTAAACTCACTATTTACGCGTGGCTGGGAGCAGGTGTAGATTTCTTGTGTACCAACTAACATTTGGAAAATACGAACATTTTAATGAATCCGAAAATTTACACCAGAACCACTTTACACACGATTTACACAAAAATTAGTTCTGCTCGTGTTTCATGAATGAGACCCAATGTTTCTGGAAGAACGTTTGTTCATAATTGAAGTGAACCTCTCCAGAACGTTAGCTCCTGTTAGCTGGGCATCTAGTGAAGCGCCAGGAAAGGGTTTTTGATTATATGGATTGTATTTTCATGTTACAGCTGCAAACTAATATCATGGATTTTATTTTATTTTTTGATTGATTGATTGATTTGTTTATTTAAGTGTCAAACACCATGGTGCCCAGCCCTCATGGGCTTATTAGACACTACAGTAATAGTTTCACAAATATCTCCAAGTAGCCACGTGACCCAACATAGCATAACTAAACCACTAAAAATAAGGACACATACAAACATCATTTTCAAACATCCAGCACAAAACCTCCCCTTCATATTTCCAAAATATATCAGGATTTTTTAACTGAATTGATTCAAAAAGAGTTTCTTAAATCACAGTATAAAAGACAATAAAAAAACAAAATGAAATTCATCTTCCACAACCTGGAGATCACAGAATCTGTAAATATGTACTGTTTGTCAATCTCTTATTTTGTACATGGACTTTAAAGTGGACTTAAACCTCTTTTTAGTTGTGATAGTCCACATCACATTCACAATAGGGTTTTAGGAAGCCAAAATATATCATAATACGTATATTAATAGTTATTTTACTTGGAACTACAGTAATAAAATGACAATTCCAACAGTCAAACCCTCCAGCTTTATAGTGGCTGAGAACTGCAGGGAGAGCTTTAGGTTTCTGTCAGGACAGGTTTACACACGCTGGTTTACACTCTCTCTGGCTCACACACTGCGTGCACAGTTATTAGGTACGCCCATTACCTGATCATGGTTTTTCCAGGCACATTTGACCAATTCCAAACCACACTAATCTTAATAACTACTATCAATTTTGTATTTAATCATTTATAAGTGATATATAATTGTTCATGAAGGCTGGAAATGAAAAGCGCTATATATTTACAGATAAAATAAGCCAAAAAAGAGATTTAACTCAGACTGAAAAGGAAAAAATGATGCCCATGAGAAGGGTGTGATATACAGCGAAATATGCTGTGACTCCATAACCTGTCCATAAACAATCAGTGTGTATCAGTGTGTACAGGGTTCCCGCGGATCCTTAAAAAGTCTTAAATTAAATTTTTCAAATTTAAGGCCATAAAAAGTCTTATGTTTACTTATGAAAGGTCTTAAATTTTAGATTACACTTTTTTTTCCCCAAGATTTTTGACAGGGTTTAGACGTAGTTGGCACATCTGAGCTAAAACAAATTGCCCAGGTGGCTATTCATTTGAATTCTCTACAAAATACACATTAAAGTACATTATCAAAAAAAAAAAAAAAATGATTACCACACAAAAGGAGGGAAAAGGGGGAGAAAGGGGAGAGGGAGAAAAGAAAAGTATAATTATAATGCTAAGTATAATTAAGTGTGAAACCATCATCAGGAACCCTTTAGATTCTGGAAAAGGAATTCCTCAAACAGTGTTACAAGAGGAGGTGGTGCTGGTCCTTCAAGAGTCACTCTCCATCTGTCGGCCTATAAAACTCTCTTCATGTGTTTCACTAACTTCAGCTTAAGAGGCGGTCATTTCTTAGGATTCTTTACCTAAGTCTCTGAGATCCTGACACTGGTCTTCAGGAGACTCCCGGTAGGCAGTAGGCTTGTGCACAATTCAGAACTGAATTGAGAATGACTCCTGAATTCTTGAATTTGAATTGATGTCAAAAACAGGATCTAGAATTACAATTTGAATTAAAGAGAGCAGAATTGCAATTCAATAAAAATTCTAACTAAGTAAGTAAGTAAGTAAAATTTATTTATACAGCGCCTTTCACAGACTAAGTCACAAAGCGCTTAACAATAGACAAAAATGGATAAAAAATAAAATAAAACAGATAAAATTAACAATATATAAAGTACAGAGATTACCCAAAAGCTAACCTGAACAAATGAGTCTAAACTAATTCATATACAAAGTGTTTAGCAATGAAGCTTTACAGTATATGTCAGAGATGATTGCATTACATATTCTATAAATGATATTAGTTTGAACTACTTTACATTAACAGGAAATGTTTTTACCTCAGCAATGAATGTTAAAAGCTCTAGTCACAGAACAAATAATTAAATTTGATTTATTGTAATTGTAATTTTGTGGAACATGATGAAGCATTTCCCAGAATTACTTTAGTAAATCTTTAGAAAAACAAAACAATTTGAGGTGGATATTTTTATATATATATATATATATATACACTCACCGGCCACTTTATTAGGTACCCCATGCTAGTAACGGGTTGGACCCCCTTTTGCCTTCAGAACTGCCTCAATTCTTCGTGGCATAGATTCAACAAGGTGCTGGAAGCATTCCTCAGGGAGTTTGGTCCATATTGACATGATGGCATCACACAGTTGCCGCAGATTTGTCGGCTGCACATCCATGATGCGAATCTCCCGTTCCACCACATCCCAAAGATGCTCTATTGGGTTGAGATCTGGTGACTGTGGAGGCCATTTTAGTACAGTGAACTCATTGTCATGTTCAAGAAACCAATTTGAAATGATTCGAGCTTTGTGACATGGTGCATTATCCTGCTGGAAGTAGCCATCAGAGGATGGGTACATGATGGCCATAAAGGGATGGACATGGTCAGAAACAATGCTCAGGTAGGCCGTGGCATTTAAATGATGCCCAATTGGCACTAAGGGGCCTAAAGTGTGCCAAGAAAACATCCCCCACACCATTACACCACCACCACCAGCCTGCACAGTGGTATCAAGGCATGATGGATCCATGTTCTCATTCTGTTTACGCCAAACTCTGACTCTACCATCTGAATGTCTCAACAGAAATCGAGACTCATCAGACCAGGCAACATTTTTCCAGTCTTCAACTGTCCAATTTTGGTGAGCTCTTGCAAATTGTAGCCTCTTTTTCCTATTTGTAGTGGAGATGGGTGGTACCCGGTGGGGTCTTCTGCTGTTGTAGCCCATCCGCCTCAAGGTTGTGCGTGTTGTGGCTTCACAAATGCTTTGCTGCATACCTCGGTTGTAACGAGTGGTTATTTCAGTCACTGTTGCCCTTCTATCAGCTCGAACCAGTCGGCCCATTCTCCTCTGACCTCTATATCATCTCTATAGCATCAACAAGGCATTTGCGCCCACAGGACTGCCGCATACTGGATGTTTTTCCGTTTTCACACCATTCTTTGTAAACCCTAGAAATGGTGGTTCGTGAAAATCCCAGTAACTGAGCAGATTGTGAAATACTCAGACCGGCCCGTCTGGCACCAACAACCATGCCACGCTCAAAATTGCTTAAATCACCTTTCTTTCCCATTAACTCATTAAGCGTAACTTATTACAGTAACCTTCCTAACACTGAGTGTGTGAGAGATTCAACACATTCTTTCTGTTGTGTGACTGTGTGGAATTTCTTTGAATTGCCATGAATTTAATTCCACTTCCTGTCTTTCCAATTCAAATTCAAATTCAACTTCCTGTGTGGTGGAGTCGATTCCATTCAAATTCAAGAATTGAATAGAGGCCAATTCTGAAATCCTGAATTGTGCACAAGCCTGTTTGGCTGCTGTCTTGGAAAATGGAGGCGCTGGAGACTAAAGGGTTCCTGATGGTTTCACACTTAATTCTTCATTCTGTTGCAGTTAACGTGTGTTTTCTTCTCCACCGGTGTTTGTCTGACCCTGCTGACCCAATGAGCATTACACTGTCCAGCGGTCATGCCTTAACTGCAATGTCGAGTATTGCACCCTTCTCATGGGCATTTTAATTTTTGACTTTTCAGTCTGAGTTAAATTTCTTTTTTGGCTTATTTTATCTGTAAAAGAAAACGTGCCTAATAATTCTGCACACCTGAATATAAGGCGCTTTTCATTTCCAGCCTTCATGAACAATTATATATCACTTATAAATGGTTAAATACAAAATTGATAGTAGTTATTAAGATTAGTGTGGTTTGGAATTTGAAAAATATGCCTGGAAAAAAAAAACATGATCAGAAAATCGATGTGCCTAATAACTCTGCACACAGTGTGTATCAGTTCATCGTATCAGTTTTTGACCATAACATAAAAAAATTTAGGGTTCAGTGTCTTGTTTTTAATAAATGTGCAAAATTATCACAAATCTTGTTTTTGTTTTGTCATTTTAGGTCATGAAGTGTAGATTAATTTGATTAATTAGGGTGTGTGTCCACCGAATAATTTTTTCCCAATTTTCTCAGTGGTTTTTAATGGGAGCGCTGCGTATTTAAAAACGGCAGCAGTGTGAGTGCTGAGCGCTTCATTCTTGACGCTCAGGGTTGAAAATGTTCAACTTGGGAAAAATGTAGCACTCATCTCTGTCATTTGTTGCCCTGCCGTCCAATCACAGTGGAGGAGGAGCGGGACAAATCAGAGATGGTCTTATTATTGGGAGATATGAGGGTTGTGGCGAACTTTGATCACGTGTGCCTTGATCACATTACAGCCTTGACGCCATTGAGTTTCAGTCGAGTTGTGCGACGGTCAACCACTGTTTGCAGATACCATAGAAATTCATGAGAAGTGACATGAACTGAATCATACGTCACGCAATTGTCCATGACTACTCTTATAAAACAGCATTTTTTCAGTGTAAACTCTAAAATGAGATAAATCCCAAACGAGTGTTTAAGAGCAAGCATGTTGAAGATTAGCTGACGGGCTGTTCATTCAACGATGAGCTGTTTCCCCACGGCAGCGGTTTATTCAGTGCAGGGAAGCGCACAGCTTATGAAAATCCCAAATTCAAAATTAGAATATTGTGAAAAGGTTTTCATAAGCTGTAAGCCATAATCATCAAAATTATAACAAATAAAGGCTTGAAATATCTCACTTTGCATGTAATGAGTCTATATAACATATTAGTTTCACCTTTTAAGTGGAATTACTGAAATAAATGAACTTTTGCACCATATTATAATTTGTCGAGTTTCGCCTGTATGTTGCTGTCTGGGGAACTAGTGAGCATGTGTGTGTTGTTACATCTCTAGGAGTGTGTGACTGGACTCTCTCTCTCTCTCTGTGTGTGTGTGTGTGTGCAGTATCAGTCATTACCGCAGTGTAAGAACGGCTTCAGGGTTGGCATGAGGCTGGAGGGCATCGACCCCGAACACCCGTCCATGTACTGCGTCCTCAGCGTGGCGGAGGTAACAGCACTGATAGCAGATGCAGACCGAGCGACGGGATGTGTCACTGTTCACAGAATCACTTGCATCCACTTTTGCATATTTGCAGGTGTTGGGACATCGAATCAGACTGCATTTTGACAAATATTCGGACTGCTATGACTTTTGGGTAAACTCCAACTCTCCGGACATCCACCCAGTGGGATGGTGTGAGAAAACCGGACACAAGTTGCATCCACCTAAAGGCAAGAGACACCAGACACTCACACACTCCCCAACACGTGTTCAAGGGCCAGATCCTGGGTCCGCGTCAATCACATGATCACGACACAGCAGAAACTAAAGATGCTCTGTGTCTCTCTCTGTCCTGAAGATTAGGTCAGGAAAGGATGTTTTTCAATTTAGTCCTAAACATGGTCTAAAAAAAATGGTTACACTTTAAAATAAGGTTCATTAGTTAACTAACATGAGCAATACATTTGTTACTGTATTTGTTAATCTTCGTTGACGTTAGTTAATGCAAATCCAGCTGTTCATAGTTTGTTCATGTTCGTTCACAGTGCATTAACTAATGTTAACAAATACAACTCTTGATTTGAATAATGTATTAATAAATGTTGAAATTAACATTAAAAGGGTTTAATAAATGCTGTACACGTGCAGTTCATTATTAGTTCATGTTAACTACTGTACTTAACTAATGTTAACTAATGAACCTTATTGTAAAGTGATACTAAAAAATGTAGTGCTTTGACTTGTTCTTGAACAAGCATTATGCCTTTGAATATTAATAATGAATGTGTGTGTCGTTGAAGTTGTGGTGTGTGGGTTGACTTGGACTGCAGCAGTGTGTGTGTTGTTCTTCACGTGGCGTGTGTGTGTGTGTGTTTCTCTGTAGGGATGAAGGATGAAGAGTTCAGCTGGTCCTCCTTCATCAAACTGAATAAAATACAGACGGCCCCCAAAGCCCTCTTCCAGAACCAGAACATGGTGAGTGTGTGTGTACGTTTGAGTGTGTGTGTGTTCAGCACATGACATTGTTCTTATGTCCACTAGATGGCACTGTTTCACTTCATTTAATAAAGCACTCACACTAGACCAAGACACTGTCATGATCCTCAGCACATTTAACTTACACTACACACTTCACTTATATTATTATAATAAGACGTAGAGCTTGATTTTAACATCAGGATTTGATTGGATCATGACATGCTCCAGATACAGTCAAAGCTAAATTTATTCAGACAATATTTCTCACATTATCACAGTATAGTTTAGAAAATGGTAATAAAAAATGACAAGAACTCAAAGTTATCAGGTCAGTTGATGTTTCATGTTGTTCAGTCTGTGGGGTAAAAATGTCGCATTAGCAATTAAAGGAAATACACTTCAGCAAAACATGATCAGCTCAAAGTGCCTGAATCATTTTTGGTCCCAAATGTTTATAAATGTTACTGGTAGTCACTGCATGAAGAACTTTTGGGTGTAATATGTCACAGTTTACTTTACTTTGCTCTCCTCACTTACATAAATGAACTATAGTGTCCTGCACACACTAGTATCAAAAATGATATCTGGTGTCTGAATATTTTTAGGTGTGCCTGTGTTATGGGGTTTGTGTGTTGTGTGTTTCAGACGGTGACGCCGTCGGGCTTCAGGATTGGGATGAAGCTGGAGGCCATCGATAAGAAGAATCCCTCGTTCATCTGCGTCGCCACGGTCTCCGACATGGTGGACAGCCGGTTCCTGGTGCACTTTGACAACTGGGATGAAGGTTACGACTACTGGTGCGTTCACAGCGATGAGTCTTTGAATTAGCGTGTGTATGCGATGTTGCTGCTGTGTCTCTCCCCGAAAGGGAACTTTTCTTCTGTTTTTTAATCTTATGACAAATTTTTTTAAACAAAGCATGGACTAACTTGCTTCAAGCCGTTGCGTATGCGTTTGCATGACCACATGAATGTTTTTGAAGAGCTGATTCTTGCCATTTTAACCCTGAATCAGTTCATGTTGTTATAGTAAAGCACTGAAAGTGATTTTTACTCTCTAACCCTGATGCAGGATATTTTTAAAACCATTCATATAAATGAAAATCTGGTAGTATCATTCAGTTTGGGCATTTCTCTCAATTTAACCACATAAATCACTCTTTTAAAATATTAATAACCCATGACATTTCTCTCATCCTTTGTATTGGATTGTCTTAAAAAAAAAACTGATAACTGTGGCTTATCTCTTAACAAAGTTTTAACTTTTAAACCAATATAAGGGGGAACATAATGAAAACATGTATTGAAACCATGTGGGGCAAAAACGACATGAAAGCATCATATTTAAATTTTAATGAAAGCATCATTTAGGGAAGAGTTATTTTTTATTCTATGAAAGTTCTGCAAACATACATATTGGCTGAAATTGTGATGAAATGGAAGAAACTGAACAGGCATAAAAATGAATTAGTTGAGGATCTTGTTAATTATATCAGTCGTAAGTCATGAGGACGCAAGCAGCACACTCTCATTTTTTTCAGTGACCCAGTTATCACTAGTTATGTGTGTGTGTGTGTGTGTGTGTGTGTGTGTGTGTGTGTGTGTGTGTGTGTGTGTGTGTGTGTGTGTGTGTGTGTGTGTGTGTGTGTGAGAAAGAGAGAGAGAGAGAGAGAGAGAGAGAGAGAGAGAGAGAGTGTGTGTGTGTGTGTGTGTGTGTGTGTGAGAGAGTGTGTGTGTGTGTGAGTGAGAGAGAGAGAGTGTGCGTGTATGTGTGTTTGTGTGTGTGTGTGTGTGTGTGTGTGTGTGCGCGTGCGCGTGTGTGTGCGCATGCGAGTCCAGGAAAAGTGGATAACGATTGCTAAATTGTTAAACGGGATATTCTTCAAGAACGGCATTTTTACAGCTGAAAGCCACATTAGTAAGCCTTTCGGATTACAACTCCTGAAAATATGTGGCGCGAGTTTTAAAGAAGTTCCCGGCGACACACTCGTATCCTGAAGACTTCACATCGGTCTCGACAGCTGACTGGATCCGCTAACAGCTGCGCTATCTGCGGGAAACCGTCTTGCCCTCTCTGCGGACGCGAGCGACTCAACCCAAGCGGAACAGAAAGCTGAGCAGGAATAAACTCGCATACCTGTGGCAGCCAAGGGGGTAATCCTCCAGCCGGAAACTGAAGTCTCCCCGGGGCCGCGATTGGCTAGCAAGCCTTCACCTGCTGTTAGCACTCCATTGACTCCCATTCATTTTGGCGTCACTTTGACAGCGAATAACTTTACATCTGAGGCGTTTAAAGACTCCATTTGTCCATTGTTTATTTCTAAAGAAACACGACAATGTATAAAAGGCTCCATTACCTTGTATCTTATGTTATGGCGCCATAGAAGCAGTTTTTGTAAAAAATAGGCTAACGATTGCGTCATAACACGCGACTCTCTGTCGCACAGTAGAGAAATTACCGAATAGACAGAAGTAGAAGCTCGTGGGCAATCGGGGGGACGTGGAGGCATAGAGTCAAGGGAGAAGCCCATAGAGAGTCATAAAGTTGCTCCTGCTGCTCATGGACAGCTAATACTCACGATCTCCGGCTCTGTGAGATCCGGAAGGGAATGGTTCAGATTCCTCTTGGCACCGCTACTAGAAGACTTACAGCTGTCCGACAGGTTGCTCACGTCACATCTCCGTTGTCAAGCTCAGTGTGAGTCTGCGCAGTCGCTCCGCCATCAGGAAGAGAGTGCTTCTAATGGGCTTCACTTTTCTCCGTTGAAGTCTATGGGGTCGCTGTGTCCATTTCTTTTACTGTCTATGGTGGCAGCATAGAAGATCTAAAGCGATTCAAGCCATTTTAAACAACAGTGAATATCCCGCCCGCCCACCGTGCTCTAGCGACATTACAGCTATACAAACTTATTATGACAATAAATGCCTAAATCAGAGGCCTAATGATGATCTCCCACCCCCACCCTGGTATTTGAGCGTGCCGCCAATGAAACCAACTTTTTTCCCTGAAACCACACACTTCACATTTAAGGAAGTAGAGACTGTCTTAAAAAACCTCCTTAACAATAAAGCAAGTGGTAAGGATGGCGTGTCACATGAGACTCTTAAAACCATACAGTCATGTCAGATTTTAACAACTATCTTTAACATCTGTTTGGAAAATAAGAGAGTACCAGATTCATGGAAAGGAGCACTAATCCATCGTATTCCAAAAAAAGACAACATCCCTGATGAACCATCAACATGGAGGGACATATCTCTTCTCCCTACCATCTATAAGGTGTTCATGAAATGCATTCTCCCTTGGTTGGTGGAAGCTGAGATCTTATCCACTAAGCAAAAGGCATACATCCATAGACAAGGCACGAATGAGCATGTATTTTGCCTCAAAACAGGGATAGATGACTTTAAGCATGAGTCATTTAGATTGTACAAATGTAAATAGATAGATTGTATATAATTCAAATGTAAAATGCTTAAAATTACAGATTAAAATTACTGTCCAAAATCCATGAAAATCCTGAAATTTGACAATGATAATTAATATATTACAGGTATTTCTGCTGCAACCAGAAAGCCTTTGCTAGCCTTGGTCCATTAAAACCTTCATCAGCATGCATTGATTAATCCCATGGCATGTAGCAAAAAAAAAAAAAAAAGGTGCGACCAAATCATATGCTGGTGCGACCAACTGAGAAAGTTGGTAGCACCAGTGCAACCAGTGGAAAAGTTAGTCTGGAGCCCTGATAAGACAGTGAGCTTAGTGTGACAGTGGTTTGGACTGAACACGCACAGTACCCGTGATATTATTTTTCACCCCCAATGGGAAGGAGGGTTGGGGGTACCAAACATGATATGGATTTATACCAGCATGCGGATTTCCCATCTTCTGAACATGCTGAATAATGATGACAAAGATGTGAGAGAGCTGGCCTGTTCCTGGACCTCCGGAAACGCTCGGTTCCGTTGGCCAGCGAGTCAGAGCCGCACTTCCTTGGCTTTAAAAGAAAACCCAGCGAGAAACTTGACACCCATTCTGCTGGCTTCAGTGTCTGGTCAGACTGGCCGGACCTGAGTTACCTCTGTGTCCGCACTGGAGTATCACTGGAGTGTGTGCGGTCTGACTCTGGGACTGTGTGGGTCTCGGAGGACATCATTCCTGACCCCTGACCTCTGTGTCCGCACTGGAGTATCACTGGAGTGTGTGCGGTCTGAGTCTGGGACTGTGAGGGTCTCCGAGGACATGATTCCTGACCCCTGACCTCTGTGTCCGCACTGGAGTATCACTGGAGTGTGTGCGGTCTGACTCTGTGACTGTGAGGGTCTCCGAGGACATCATTCCTGACCCCTGACCTCTGTGTCCGCACTGGAGTATCACTGGAGTGTGTGCGGTCTGACTCTGGGACTGTGAGGGTCTCGGAGGACATCATTCCTGACCCCTGACCTCTGTGTCCGCACTGGAGTATCACTGGAGTGTGTGCGGTCTGAGTCTGGGACTGTGAGGGTCTCCGAGGACATCATTCCTGACCCCTGACATCTGTGTCCGCACTGGAGTATCACTGGAGTGTGTGCGGTCTGAGTCTGGGACTGTGTGGGTCTCGGAGGACATCATTCCTGACCCCTGACCTCTGTGTCCGCACTGGAGTATCACTGGAGTGTGTGCGGTCTGACTCTGTGACTGTGAGGGTCTCCGAAGACATCATTCCTGACCCCTGACCTCTGTGTCCGCACTGGAGTATCACTGGAGTGTGTGCGGTCTGAGTCTGGGACTGTGAGGGTCTCCGAGGACATCATTCCTGACCCCTGACCTCTGTGTCCGCACTGGAGTATCACTGGAGTGTGTGCGGTCTGAGTCTGGGACTGTGTGGGTCTCGGAGGACATCATTCCTGACCCCTGACCTCTGTGTCCACACTGGAGTATCACTGGAGTGTGTGCGGTCTGACTCTGGGACTGTGTGGGTCTCGGAGGACATCATTCCTGACCCCTGACCTCTGTGTCCGCACTGGAGTATCACTGGAGTGTGTGCGGTCTGACTCTGTGACTGTGAGGGTCTCCGAAGACATCATTCCTGACCCCTGACCTCTGTGTCCGCACTGGAGTATCACTGGAGTGTGTGCGGTCTGACTCTGGGACTGAGAGGGTCTCGGAGGACATCATTCCTGACCCCTGACCTCTGTGTCCGCACTGGAGTATCACTGGAGTGTGCGGTCTGAGTCTGGGACTGTGAGGGTCTCCGAGGACATCATTCCTGACCCCTGACATCTGTGTCCGCACTGGAGTATCACTGGAGTGTGTGAGGTCTGACTCTGTGACTGTGAGGGTCTCCGAGGACATCATTCCTGACCCCTGACCTCTGTGTCCGCACTGGAGTATCACTGGAGTGTGTGCGGTCTGACTCTGGGACTGTGAGGGTCTCCAAGGACATCATTCCTGACCCTTGACCTCTGTGTCCGCACTGGAGTATCACTGGAGTGTGTGCGGTCTGACTCTGGGACTGTGAGGGTCTCCGAGGACATCATTCCTGACCCCTGACCTCTGTGTCCGCACTGGAGTATCACTGGAGTGTGTGCGGTCTGACTCTGTGACTGTGAGGGTCTCCGAGGACATCATTCCTGACCCCTGACCTCTGTGTCCGCACTGGAGTATCACTGGAGTGTGTGCGGTCTGACTCTGGGACTGTGAGGGTCTCCGAGGACATCATTCCTGACCCCTGACCTCTGTGTCCGCACTGGAGTATCACTGGAGTGTGTGCGGTCTGAGTCTGGGACTGTGAGGGTCTCCGGGGACATCATTCCTG